TCGCGCGACTCAAAGCCCCGGGCCCTTTCAACCCCTACTGGAGCGCTGTGCTGCAACATCCATGCGGCGCTAAGAGCAGAATGGTTACGTGGGGTGGGGTGCTCACGTGGGGTGGTCATGGGCTGAAGCACCCACTGGCCACCACGCTTCCCCTTCTGCCTCCTCCCTCTGTGCCTCTTGCCCACAGCTGGGCCCACTGATCAAACCCTTCCCTGACCTCACAATGCTTTCTGAGCACCATGAACAGCTGATTGGCGCTGTTTGGGCAGTTCAGGGAGGGACGGGCTGGAGCAAGGATGGGTTACACTCAAGAGCTTGGGAGAAGGGGTGGAATGGGGCAGGGGTTGGGGCAGGGTGAGACAGAGTAGGGAGAGGCAAAGCACGTTCCACCTGCAGGGGAAATTGGTGTCTCTGGTCAGTAGTACATGCTGAGGCAGGGCTCTCTAGCCACCATCAACAACTTTACCAGGTGGGAAAATGTCCCTTGCAGAGGTTTCCGGTCCCCGTGTCGTGACGGCGTGGCAGCGAAGAAGCAGAGCCCCCTGCATGTGCCTGGCCGCGGGCTCCCGCAGCGAGTCGTACACCAGCCCAGGGAGGTCCTCCCGGGGCTCCAGTCGCTCCGCCCGCTCCCGCTCATCGCATCACAAGGCCACGCCCAGGTACTCCCGAAGCAGATCCTGCTCCTCGGGAAAAAGGTGAGGCCGAGTTGAGTGGCTGTCGATGTTGTCTGTAGCTGTCCCATTTGCAACAGTGCTTGGGAGTCCGGGCAACAGGCCAAAGAGCCTTGAAAATGCAGCGAGAGTTAGGCTGAGCTGACTCAGAATTCTGGCAGTACCGATGAGATTTGCCTCTGAAAGGATGGGCCAGCAGAGAGATCCCAGTTGGTGCATGGCGAGCTACGGGGCTCGTTTATTTACAAGGTGAAGACGCATTTATCAGAGGCTGGGCCGACAACATTAAGTCCGGGCAACAGGCCAAAGAGCCTTGAAAATGCAGCGAGAGTTAGGCTGAGCTGACTCAGAATTCTGGCAGTACCGATGAGATTTGCCTCTGAAAGGATGGGCCAGCAGAGAGATCCCAGTTGGTGCATGGCGAGCTACGGGGCTCGTTTATTTACAAGGTGAAGACGCATTTATCAGAGGCTGGGCCGACAACATTAAACTTGGGACCTTGTTCCCCTTTGAACCCAGATTTTGAAAAGGAGCCTCGTGCACCTTTAACCCTCCCACCACAGCTGTGGTTTGACCCCCCCTTTTTATGGTGCTTATCTCTTCTCAGGTCCTATTCCCGTTCCCCCAGCTACTCATCCAAGTCCTGCAAAAGAAGCCCTGGAAGCAGGACCTCACGACCGCGTCGGAGCCCCAGTTATTCCCGCTACAGCCCTAGCAGGTACTTGTCTGTCCCTAGTGTGGCACAGCATCCTTGCAGCATGTCAGTTCGAGTTTATGAATAATACATGGGTGACCCCTTCGCAAGCTTCTCTGCTGCACTTCATTGGCATGAAGTTGCATGTGAGAGCACCCAATACACTGGGGATCTGGCTATCGCACATATTGGAAGCCCTTGAATGCAGACAAGGAGTGAGGCATGTCCAGGTCTCTGAAGTCTGTGCATTCCCACTCTCATTGTTTATGGCCTATCTCCATACATGTTGCCAGTTGGTTCTGCTGATGCTGATTCTTGAGAGAAGAGGCATTGAGCAAGGAGATGAGCTGAAGGGGGCAAGACTCAGGCTCACCTGGATATGGGGATTTCTACAACCGAGCCCTTCCCTCCTAGACTGCCCTCCATTCCTCAGTGCACCTGGATTCCGGCCGTGGAAAGGTCCCATTAAGCAGTTGTAGAGCGGAGTGATGCGGCATGACCTGCTTTTTCAGGCCTTTGAAGAAAGTTAAGCCTGCAAAATGTATGTTGAATTTGATGGGTGAGGCCTGCTGAAATGTGCCGCCTTCACTTTGACCCCTTTTGGAAGCAGAGCACTCGTTGGTCTGGTGTTGCAGCTCACTCCAGGCCCAAAGGGCCGGATGAATTTGAAAATGCCAGTCCACAGGCCTCTTGGAGGGCTTGGGCCATTGTCAGGGAAGTATTTTCTTGGTGCAGAAAAACATACAATCGCCAATTGAGCAGCAGTTAGCAGATGGGATTTTGAAGGCTCATTGAAATGCCCTGTGCACAGGGAGCTTACATTGGCTGACTTGGTAAAGCGCGCTGTGCAGAGAACAAGCTAGCAGCAGTGCCAACAGCCTTGCTCAGCTCCACAGTACGGTTCTTTTTGGCCCAGAACATTATGTGTGCTCTGTAGGAATCAATGGTGGTTTCCTTACCAAAATGCCTTTTGCCACTTAGGTCCTTTGCTCACTTCTACTATGCGTTCCCACATTTCAAGCTGTATGAGCATAGGCTGGCTGAAATCTAGGGGGGAAGGCGCTCGTCCTGGCCATATGGAAAGTTGCACATTGCAGAAAGGTTGAGGGACTTCCTGGCCAAAATACCTTAGCAGAGAGCCCTGGCAACAGCTCAGCATTGGTCTTAAGGGCTTATGCACAACCCAGGCCAGGAATACAGAAACAGGTTTGTAGGACAAAGGTGATCATCCAGATTCTGCACTAGGGGTCAGTTACCACAGGGAAGTGCTGAACCAGGATGTAAAATGTTCCCAAGTGCTTTCTATCCTGCAGGGTCTCAGAGAGCCTCACTCTTTTTATATAGGCAATGTCTACACTGCATGTTATTTTCGGAAAAAGGTATGCAAATTGCAAACCGCCATTTGCGTATCTTTTTTCAATTCTTTTTTTTTTTTTTTTGAAGAGGCTGTTCCAACATGTGGCCTGTTTACACTTGGCCAAATGTGGGGGAAACCTCCTCTTTCAGGAGAGCCCTTATTCCTTATAAAATGAGGAATACAGGACTTCCGAAAGAGCGCGCCTGCTTTTTCGGAAACTGATCTGAAAAAGTGACACATTCCCTGGATGCGGCAGAGTTTTTCCAGGATGCTCCGGTATTCCAGAAACTCTGTAGTGTAGACATAGCCATAGATGTGAATTGTACCACTGAAATGCAGCCACCTCTTGGGTGGAAGCTGTCTGCTAAAGCACTGCAATGGGAGTGGTAGAAATTAGAGGAAGGACGCTAGGGCAAACCCTTTCTCTCACAGTGAGTGCCAGACAATCTCTATCCTCCATGCAGAGCAGACAGTTAAATCAGCTCTCAAAGTCATGTAGCAAATTATATGGAATTCCGGCTGGATTAATCTATGGGGTTATTTTTTCAGGGCTTCTGAATGTTATCGGAACAAAATTCTCAACTTCACTGTATGTGGGTTTATAGCCCAAGGTGTATTTTGTGTTTCTGGATAGAATGTGATTTCTCCTTCCATCCACAGTCACCAATCTCTGTCAGGCTGAACGATCTTCGTTTTGTAACAAGAAAAGGACAGGGCAGGAAAGAGCAAATGTCAGGTGTCCATTAAAGAGCGCACAGGGGACATCCTTACCTATTGGCAAAATACACAATTGTGTATGACACCAGAAAATGTGCGGTCTTCATGTCCACCCACCCACCTCTTCCTATCCCTGGTCTGTGGTTCTGCTTCCTCCTGAGAGGATCTAGTTAACTTAAACTGAAATAGTCTGCCAGAGCTATTAGCAGAACACTGAACCTGTGAAAGAGCCATTGAAATGGTAATGAAGTCATGTAACAGGCATTTGCCAGCCCCTGGTATATAGTTTCTGTATGTACTGTGTTAGCCTACAGGACCCTACTTTAAAATTTGCTGTAAAACTATTTAATGAATATGTTGCTGAAGATTATAAAATCATATCTGTAAAAAATCCTCCCTCCCACAAGCTTCTGTCGGGAGTGGAATCGATAAAACAATGGGAAGCTAGCAGTGTCTTGGTCTTTGGCTGGCGTGGCACACTCAAGAGGATAATTAAAAACCCCAGGGAAAAGGAGACTTCCCTGCTATGGAGGCTTAGCTAGAATAAGAACAGCTTTTGGGTAAGTTTGTACTGAAGTTTTAGTGTTAGAGTTAGCTAAGCATTTTCTGATCTACTTTGGTCTGCCTGTTCTCACTTACAATCACTTAATCCTACTGCTTTGTACATAATAAAAACACTTGTATTTACTATCAAGCCCAGTGTAAATAATTGTTACCTGGGGGGGCAATCAGTGTGTACGTCCTCCTTTCATTGTTAGAGGGGGCTTACCTAAATAATTCATTTGGGGTTCCGATCCCATTTGGGGAGTGGAATTGCAGGAAGCTGGGCCCAAAACTGCCTTTTCCTCAGATCTGAAGAGTTTCAGTGTCTGTACAGTTCCTTGGAGGGGGGCAGTGGTGGTGATCTCATCTCTGTGCCTTGGCTGAGGGAGACCAGGGAGTTGGCCCAGCAGGACAGGGTGGTGAAAAGCCCCAGAGCGCAGGAAAGCGAGTGTTTGTGGCTTTGTCAGCACTCCAGAAAGCACTCCCAAGGGGTCTTCTGTGACCGTACCCCATCACAATTTGTCTTCAAAGTCTTGCCACTAAAGAGAGCTGGGTGGTGTTTTCTGATGCTGCTAGGCTCAACCCAGGCAACCAGGGAAGAAACTGCACACTGCCATTCACCTCAAGGGTGGGATTACAAAGTGCACTGTTTGTGGCCCAGTCTAATAGCCGCCCTGATGTTAGGGTACAATGACAGTCTGTGGGTACATCTGCACAGATGCTGAAGGGTGTAACGCACAGTGTGGACAGGTGAGCACACCGGAAGTGTGAGAGTGGCAGCACATGCAATAGCTCAGGGTAGCCATCTGAGACCGTACCCAGGGAGTCAGGCAGCATTGTTCTCTGGTGGCTAGCCCGAGCTGCCATCTAGACTGCTGTGGTCACACTGCAATTGATTGGCACTAGCTTGAGCAGAGCTAGAACATCCGTCTCCTTGAGGTTGGACTTCCAGATCCCAGTCAGCGTTCCCGTAAGTTGAGCAGTTCTCGGGCAGCCACCCAGGAGAGATTCAAGTGCCAAACTGCTGATTAACAGAGCATCCACAGCTGGTAGAGTGTGTTTCTATTGGCGGTGCACATCTGCACAAAGGGCACATACTAAAATTTATTCCGCACATGGAGGGAAAAAATTGGAGGGAACATTGCTCCCCACTGCGATGAAGACATATCTGTGTGTGAATGGTCAAGACCCAAAAGAGCATGATGCATGCATTGTGCAAGGGCTATCATGAGAGATTTATTTTCCTCCTCACCCCCATAAAGATACTGTATAAACAGAGTTATGTGGGAAACTTTTCCAGCTATCTTTAAGAAGATTGCACCAAATCTCAACCCGAGTTCACACAGCGAGAATGTCCTTGGAAAAACTGCACGCTCTCCCGCTGGCACGTTGAAACGCTGTGGGGACCCTGACGCTGGGCTCCCCACGGCATTGCAAAGTGGCAACACTGCATGAAACCTGGGGTCAGCGGGGGAGTCCCCAGCTGATCCTGGGCTCCACTTTCTCCTGTGAAGTGTAGTAACCGCCTTAGGGCAGTTGCTACTCTTCAAAGGCGGAGGCGCCCCATCGACTAATCAAATAGTGGACGCAACATGCATTGACTATTCAATTAGTCAATTACTCACAATTTAACATCCCTATTCCAAACCTTTGCTAGCAGGTTCTAATATTCACAGCAATTAGGAGCCCATCATAACCATTTTGCATATTTGAAAAGCCACTGTGGTTTTTTGGCCTAACTCAGCCGGGCAGCGTGGTGCAAAGAGGCCCAAAAATAAACGAGAATCAGGGTTCCCTATTTCACTCGTCACTTTGCACATAGGGAAAGCGATATGTTAAACTGGATCAATCCCGTTTCTTCCCGATCCTCACGGCGCAGCAGGCGGGATATCAGGGAGGTTTGGGGAGACTTTCCCAGCACACGCCAGCAACACTACTGTGAGAACTGCTGCATGAAGTCGGCACAGCTGAGGCTCTGTGGGGCAGACGTGCCCCACAGAAATAGTGCACACCGGTTGCAGATGGCCACGCCATGCAGTGCTGCATCCAGACTGGCCAACTCTGGGAATGGCGTGCACACCCAGCCAGCTGGGGGGTGCTGTTAAAAGCACCCTCACTCACCCCCCAGCTAAGTAGTGGCATAAACAGGCGGGATAGATGTCTCCTGCCTCTGTTGCACCAGTCACGCCATGGAGTGAAGGCTGGCGGGATTAGTTTTGCAGCTCGAATGAGAAGAAAGAGGGCTGTG